GCAGGGTGATCCACATTAGTGGCATGTGTTTTTGTTCTGAATTCGTCCTACCCACAGGCGATCGTGAACAAGGCTCATCCGAATTCAAGCCCATTTAGCTTGTTCGATGCTGTGGCTCAGCTATGGAGCGACCTTTGCGAAGCAATGGGCGGCGAAGACATGTATAAGGCTGTGAAGAGTGTGATTGGGGCTGGGAAGGCGGTGGACATCAAGAGATTCTGCCTTGTCTCCAGTGAGTGATCATCAAATTTTGTCTACTTGGTCCGCGTCATCAATATTGTCGCTCATCTGTCAGCATGTTTTTTTTATGTCGCCAGTGCTCACTGGGCAGCCCATTTTGGTTGGCAAGTGAGTTTACTACTACTTGAAAGGTGTAGCTAGATTTTGAGTGGATTTCGGTAGCGACGGTGGGTGGTTCTGATTGATAGCACGCCGCATCAAAATAGAATGTGTTTTGTCACACTGCACAGGCAAGAGCAGCGCGACGCATAAGAAAATAAGCAGCTACTCGGAATCTGTTCCATTCTTCTTCCTCTTACAATCATGGCTAGATCAACTGACAATGCCATTGTTGGTACGACCAAGTCACCCCGCAGATCTCCACTAGTAACTTGCTCAGTTAGACCAAGACATGAATAACTAAAGTAGTAGAAGGAGTACATAACCTTTGGTAGTAGTAAACCTAGGTGCTGTTGTGCACATGTCTGTACTGTTCCCCGGCCCTCAGTTACCTCAGCCTGCTCATGACTACTGTGTGTTGTGTCCTGTTGATGTCCCTATTCATAACTGCTGCATGCATTCATTGCTAGTTCCATGCATAGTTCTTTGCCCTACTGTGGCGGGAAGGTCGTCCCGTGCAGCCGCAATGATCAGCTGCGCTACGGAGGTTCAGTTCAGGCAAACATGCGTGCGGATTTGCATTTTGCTGCTTGATTTTGATGTATTTGTAGTTAGTGCAAGGAAAGAGCTTGCTGGTGCAGTTGTTGTTTTCTGGCTGTTTCTGTTACTACCAGGTAATAGCTAGCTTTTTTGAAGTATTGAAATCAGTTTGCAATGGATACAGTCGTCTCCTAGTGATAATATTCTATAAACCTCAGACTCTGTGTTGAGAGTGAGAATACCGGCGCAAACAGCCATGCTGAGATCGCTTATCGGGGATTGCTTGCCAAGGTGAGATCGCAGTTCACGCTGCCACAGAGCAATGATGAGCAGAACCTCGATGACACTGAATTGGTGACAGAGACTGCGGCCGGCATCAGTACAGCAGCAGGAATGAAGAGGAAGAGAAAGCCCTTCCATCCAAAGACGTCAGATGATGTAGCAGAGCGCCACGCAGCTTCACGCATGGTATTATTTGAGAGCTTCGGCTCTTGTGTCTCGGTTGGCCTTGTGTGTCTGTGATTAGAGCATCGTCTCTTGTGTTTTTTTTGGTTTGGCCCTGTGGTTTGCAAAGCCTGGTTGTAGAGTGACGTTGTCAGCTATGGTGTTATTGGTTTTGGACCTGTGTCGTGGCCCCTTGTTCGGAGCGTCGGCTCTAGGTTTTTGTTTGGCCCTGGGTCGTGGCCTGGTTGTAGAGCGCCGGCTCTAGTTTTTTTGGTTGGCCCTGTGTCGTGGTCCGTTTTTCTTTAGAGCGTCGGCTCTGGGTTCTGTTGGCTTGTTGTTAGCTTGTTGTGCTACAATGTAAGCTGGTTTTGGTTTTTCTCTGTTGCTGTGGTTTCTTTTGCTGTTGTGCATGTGGAACGTGGTGTTAGTTTAATATTTTGTGAAATGTCATCAAGGGGGCAGGTGTTGTGAAATGATGTGTTGTTTTCCTGTGTGATGGCATTCCCCAAACTGTCTCGTCTAGTCGCGTGCATGTGTGATATGAGCATGCGCGATTTTGTAGTCGAGAGTCCTTTTGTCAGTCTTCTTGTTTGTCCCTTTCAGTGTTGTCTTCATTTCCGTAATGTCAAAATGTATATTGCAAAAACAAACTAGTCTTGTCCTTTGTGTCCGGCCTCCCGGGGAACGGAATGGCTGTGATTCCGTAAGATGTATAATACCAGCACAGGCTAGCATCTCCTGTGAGCGGTAGTTTCCTGGCTTCCTATTGGAGTGATAGCTATTCCTGTGAAACCTTGGCACCCAAAATTGTACATACCACCACCCTAGTCTGTCACATTATGTGAGGACAGAACAATCAGAAAGGTGGACTGACTGATCTCTCTCTCTCTCTCTCTCTCTCTCTCTCTCTCTCTCTTTCTCTCTCTCTCTCTCTCTCTCTCTCTCTCTCTCTCTCTCTCTCTCTCTCTCCTCTTTCTCTCTCTCTCTCTCTCTCTCTCTCTCTCTCTCTCTCTCTTTCTCTTTTTCTGTGTGTCTGTGTGTCTGTGTGTCTGTCTGCCTGCCTGCCTGCATGTCTGCCTGTCTATCTGTCTGTCTGTCTGTCTGTCTGTCTGTCTGTCTGTCTGTCTGTCTGTCTGTCTGTCTGTCTGTCTGTCTGTCTGTCTGTCTGTCTGTCTGTCTGTCTGTCTGTCTGTCTACTCTATTTATCCATTTATCTATGTACATGCTGTCCGCAGATTGAGTATCTATCTACATATCTATCAATCAATCAATCAGTCAATCTCTCTATCAATCTATCCATCTATCTATGCCTGTCTGTGTGTCTGTCTGATATATTGTACTTTTGTAGGGCCACTTCCGTCAACTGAGAGTGATTCCGCCTATTACAAACAGAAAGTCCTAGCGTCTTCGTCTCAGGTAAATTAAGTTGTACCAAAACATTTGTCATAAAGGTTCATTTCGTACGAGAACAACTGCACTACCTAGAATTTGTCTACTGTAAGTCGACAAATATTCTGCCCTTTCAAATTTCGGCCTCCCATTTTGGCGGCATTCAATTTTCGGCCTGTCCTGCTGCTGCCTGTATACACTGTCACACTGCACCTTGTAAAACAAAATGTCGGCCGCAACTAATTTTCAGCCGAATACGACCAGGCCAAAAATAGACGAAAATAAATATGCGCCGAATATTTGTTGACTTGCAGTATGTCTTACTAGAAGGTCGTGTGCAAGCGATAAGCCGTCGAAGTCTGACGTCACTGCTTCTTGACAACGCGTAGTTCCTTGGCCAAGTGGCGACGTACAAAAGTCACTTGTCGTGTTTCCAGTGGCAGCAACATGCAGTGAACACAGCTACAGTATAATTTTGACTGAGGAGTGCGCCAGAGAGAATATTCATTTCAAATAAGCTGCTACTTGTCATGGCGCTGAGTTCGTAGTTTTTGCTTTGTAGAGAAGGAGAAGCCGTAGATGATTTTTTGCTTAGCCACTGCTGTGCCTGTACTGTCCTTTGGCTTTACATGTAGTCGCCGGCCAAGAAGCAATGATGGGTGTCTCTCTTATTTCTATCGCAGCGATTGCTGATTTCTTTTGGTTCTAAGTGGGGGTCAAACGGGTGTACCGGGTACCCGGGTGCCCGGCCGTTAATCTCAGGTACCGTTAGTAAAAGGGTACCAGTTTGGATTTCGATGATCCAGCCAGTACGGAACAACACTGCTGGAATCGCGCATTCCCTGCTGGAGTCAATTATTTACAACTCAACGCTGCTTGTCTGCACTGTAGTCTGTGCAGTGTACTGTTGGATTTTCACACCTCTGCAACACGCTCCAGCTGAGACAGTACGAGTCCTGCAGGGCACTATGCACCACACAGGTATGCATCTGCGACTGGCTGCAGACTAAAAACAAAAGAGTGCGGACATACCCTTTTTCCTTTGCATTCCCATTACGACTTAGAAAGACAGGAGCAGGCTTAAAGGCAGTCGTTCTCTCCTTTCTAGTGCAAGTAAAAATACTCCTACTGGAGGTTTTTGATTGCGATGTGAGCAACAAAAATGCAAGATGAAACTCGTTCGAGGCGCCAGCTGAGTTGCTAGAAAGTCGCGATGGTTCTCGATCTCCGACATCAAACCTGCCACAGCACTTGAAGATGAACTCATGTCACCAGGCTGAGTACCACACAGTGATGTCCGTAGGTGATAGCTATGGTAGAGGGGACGGTTTCAAATAGGACAGAGGTTGCAAACCGGAACGGACTCAATATTCACTTTCGCTCTTGGTATTTTGATTAGAAAACATATGTCACAGTGAGACTACGATGTGTTATACTCCGAGCCAAAATTGCATGGCTCTGCGATGACCAGAAGCGCCATACCAAGCAGGTGAGTTTTTGACGTGTTGCTTCGCACTGCGACTTGAGTTTTACGACTTTCGAAAAATCAACTTCTTGTCGCAGGTAAACAGCGGCTCGCCTCTCGCCAATAAAGCACCGCATTCCAATCAAAACTAATGGAAGCACACACAAGGCTTATTGTTACTCTGTACTGGGCGTCGTGGAGCGATAGCAATTACCTAATTTCAGACCCAGGGTGAATTTGACGTGCACTCTAAAACGTGTCCGGTTTGGAGCCACCTCTGATTTGAACTTTTTTGAAGCGAAAAATTGGGCAACTTGGAGGCAATGGGTCAACACAAAGGAGTGGCTCAGTTCGATTGACTCTGGCCCCAGAGCAAACTTCAACATGCCAGTTTCCTTCCACAAACATATTTCAAGTGAAAAATCAACGCTGATGATCGGTTTGGGTCTATACAAATTTGGCTGTCAAAGCGTCCCGGTATCGAGCCGTCCCCTCTACTCTTGGTTGTAGTTTGTTCATTCATTCGACGAGCTTGGTTTATCAGAAAGGTTTGCTCCCCACTTGGTTGGTTGAGCTTGGTTTAGTTGAAAAAATAGTTCGAAACATTGCATATGGAATATTTTTTGTGAAGATTCGTTTCACAAGTTCAACAACGGGCTAGCACTAGCAGCTAGCTGGCCAGCTGTACATCAGCTGTGTCACACATGGATGCTAACATCTTCTGAATGCGGAGAGTATCGGAACGCTGCATCTCGTAACGCGAAGACCAGTCTGCCACGGTGTTACAGGAGCCACCGATATGTTGCGCAGACAGCGTGAAGTTGCAACGAGCACACACAAAGAACAGTTCTCGTATCAATGTCATGACCTGAGGTGCTCGGCAGGTCCCGTCGTTGATCGAGGACGAGTGAGTGAGTGGCTCAACATAGAGCACGGAGCCATTGCTGTTTAAAGCGTTGTCACAGTGGAGGCGGATCCTGAGTTTCGCCCCGCCATTGCCCCAAGTCAGATAGGACACTAGGACCGCGTAGAGTTCTTTCCACATGATATCCTCGCTAGCGTCAGTGAATAACTCAATGTCGGGGGGTGGTATCCAGCCTGGGTTCAGGAAGAATGACTTCCCGTTCCACTCCTCCAGGAGACTGTTGCTACCAAGTGAGATTTTCCGAAAGCTGTATGCCGTAGTGTGGCTTCTGTATTTCCTGCAGATATTTCGGAGGCGCCTGGTGAAATTCCTGCGGGCACTACGACCCGAGAAGCAAACGCTAGCTTGCCCAGAAGGGACTCGAGGTCGTGCTGAGTGATCTGGCTGTGTTGGAGGGCACCCTTCAGCCGAAGCTGGAGGTCTGTGATCTTATCATCCGGAAGCCGGCTTCCCTGTGGCACGCAGTCCAGGGTAACTCCTAGAAAAACCAGATTGCGTGCGGGTCCATGAACTTTCTGAGGAGCGAGGGGTATGCCGAGGTAGGTAAACGCCCGAAGCAGAATAGCCAACTGCGGTGGGCAATAGCTTCATGATTGGACACACAGAGGAATTGTCGAGGTACTAGTAGTGGATAAGATCAGGAATGGAGCGCGTCGCATTGAACTGGTCCGATGAGACTGCTATTGCACACACAGTGAGGGAACTCCCATACGAGAACTCAGAAGTACTGCTACAGTACAGGCAAGGTGACCGTTGCTTATGTGTGTGCGTCGTTGTCATGGTGTCTTGGTATGCTAGCAGTTCCTGTACTCAGTGTGGATGGAGTTCTGCGATAACACGGACACAAATGTTGAAGGCCTCCATCAATGTGGCTAAAATCGTGAATGTTGCGTTTAGGTGGCTGCAATGCTCCGTTGGTCTCGCTCAGGCTAAACTGGCGTGTGCTACCAGGGCCCCCTTCATCGGCTGACATCAGCTGGTAGGATTTGCGTTCAGGGGTTCTGAGCACCTCTGACAATAATATAGCCAGGTCGACAACATCACCTCGCGAAATTTTGTCTCTGGCGGCCTTTACTCGGTAGCACCGGGAGGGGCATTGTTGGTACTGCGTGTCACGAGCCTGCATGCAATGCAGCGGTGGCATCGGGAGCTGTTGGTTGTGGAGGGCATCCCGTGCTGAGGAGTGGTGCAATAACCTCCGACACGGCAGTGATGACGGCAGACTGTACCTCGGCTCGTACCAGAGTTTGCGATGAGTCCTGAGTTTGTAAGCGATCCGTTGAAATGCCAGGTTCGGCAGTCGTGAGAACCGGCACAGAACCACTTGCTGCAGCCCGCCCCCGGGAGGCTCGACGTTTTTGGGGCAGGAAAGGACAGGCTCACCCGTTGCGTAGAGTTGTTTGATGATGTGGAGGCAGAAGCCGGATGGCAGGGTGCGACGGGTCATGACATTTTGTTTTTGCCAGTGGCGCTGGCACAGCACAGAGACGGCAGTGAGAACCGGAAAACGGAATGCCACTTGAAGCGCTCAACAACTGACACCACCGCGGAAACGGCACGACACGAAGCCGTTGGTGCAACTCAGGCTTGCAGCTTACGGCGAAATCACCGAAAGGATTCCCGAAAAGAGTTCAGAAAAGAATTAAGAAGCCAACCACTTCTGCTGAGCAAGAAAAGCCAGAAAACAACAACTAAACAGTTTGAACTCTCCAACCTGGTGTGATATACAGTGTATGTTCGATCGTTGAGCTGTAAGTGCGACCCACAGCTGGGACAGGTGCCCGGCCCTGTGTACCTTATACTTGCATGCGGCACGCGGAACGCAGACAGGCACATCAGATGGCATATTGGGTGCTCCAATCAGTGCAGTGTGCACAGACGTGCATGAGCAGTGCATGCGATATACATGTATGTATATTTTACCAAAGACAAAAAGGACATGGCTAAGTATAAGGTGACACGTTTTGTTTGTCATCACTTGGCCTTGTAACTACGTGTAACTACGAGTTTTCAGGCAGCGTGACGTCGGCACTTCGACAGCCCATTGTCATTGACCTGCGTAAAAGAAAACATACAGTTGAACACCAATTATTCGACCACCTCTGGGCAGCAGGCCCAAGAAAGGTGTTCGGGTAATGAAAATGTTCCGGATAAGGAAAATCTCACCACAGGCCGATACCTGTGTTCGGTATATCACAGTACCCGCAACAACAGTCGTTGTAATGTTAGTTTTTGCTCATTATACCTGCACATACATGTTCGCCCACCCATACACCAGCAACAGGAGCGCATTGTAGGTTTCATTGTTCAAACAGGCCCACGTCGTACGCGTTTTTCATGAGATAATGTATGTCTTTATTGGGTTTTCTTCTTCCTTGGGTTGTTCTTTGTGCCACCA